ATATATTTATTATTTTTTTGTTTCTCTCCATGATCACACAAGTGAGATTTTACGTGTAAAAGGTGTCACAGAACTGAAAAAGAAAAGAAAAGAAACGTTTTATGAAGTTAATCTTATTTGTTAGTCGTGATATGATGTTGTTGTTGTTGATTTGTTATTTCCGGCCGATTTTACTGATATGAATATTTGTCTATTTAATAAATTTCGAGAAAATTTCATAAATTTTCTTAAGAATAATTAACTTTTTCAAAAAAATTTTATTTCAATAAAAATTTTATTTTTCTAAGCGACATCTATACATAACATAAAGAAATTATTTATTAGATTATTTTCATTAATTCTTTCATAAATTTTTATTTAATTAAAAACAAAAAATAAATATTTATTTTCAATGTCTATCATCTGATTGTTATTTGATAATGATCCAATCCAATAAATCAATGCGTAATTACAGATAAACTAAACATATTATATTATTTATGTAAAATGAACGTTGAAATAAGTATTACTTCATTTTCTTTATAGTTAAAAACTAATGGACCGTTCCAAACATAAAAAACATCATCGTCATCACCATCGAAGTAAAGATAAAACTGATGATGATAGTAAAGATCGAAATCGTGATCGTCGTCGATCACCATCACCATCAGCATCATCTTCATCATCATCATCTGATAACAATTCTACAACAACTGATGAAGAAGAATATCGTGAAAAACAAATAACAACTAAAGGTAAAACAATGGAACAAATTGAAGAAGAACGTCACATAATGAGAGCAGAAAAAAAGTAAGAAAAAATAAAACAAATATTTATTAATTAATTAAAAATATTTAGACGACAACGTGAACTTCGAAAAGTTTATGAAACTTCACATGAAAAACGTCAACGACGTTTAGCGAAAAAAATGGAAAAAGAACGAAGGAAAAAATCTGCTCTTGGTTGGGATGCTGAACATATGGTTCGATTTTTTTTTTTAATTCTTTTTTGTTTTTTGTTTAAATTAATTTTTCTATAGGGTATGACAAATGCAAATAATCCATATGGTGATGAAAGATTACTTGAAACATTTGTTTGGGGAAAAAAATTAGAAAAAAAAGGTTTATCTGATGTTCCACCTGAACGTCTTAAAGCTTTAACAGTACAACGTGTTGAAGAAAATAAAGTAAACAAAAAAATCTCTTTTAAACAAAACAAAAAACAAAAAAAACTTCTTTTTGCAAATTTTTAAGATTGAATTAGAAAAATTAAAAAAACAACGATTAGAACGTGAACGTCAAAAAGAAGCAATGGAAAAAGAAAAAGAATTTTTACAACGTATTAAAGAAGCTGAATATTATCGTGAATGGGAAAAACAAGAAGATTCATTTCATTATAATCAAGTACGTCTTCGTTCAAAAATTCGAATAACTGATGGTCGTGCTAAACCAATTGATCTTCTTGCACATTATATTAATGATGATGATGATGATTTAGCTGTTGAAATGCATGAACCATCAACTTATTTAAATGGTCTTACTATTCGTGATCTTGAAGATTTATTAGCTGATATTAAAGTTTATACTGAATTAGAACAACAACAAAAATCTGGAACAAAATCACATTATTATGATGAACAATATTGGCAAGATGTAACAACAATAACAGAAGATGAATTAGCTAAATTAAGAAAATTATCATCACAATTATATCATGATCAAAGAATTGATGATAGACGTGAAGGTATTAACGTAGCTGTTTCTCAAGATGTTAATGAAACATTTAAAAATAAAACACCACAACAATTAGAACAATTAGAACAACGTATTAGGTATTTAGTCTTATCAGTTTTTTTTTTACATTCATGTCTTTCTACATTAATCTAAACGTTGAAAACTTTTCAAAATATACAAAACATAATACATACACATAGCCATTTCGTTATGCAGCTCTCTAGTCTATACAAAATAAAATAACGGTTTTGGTGGAACTCTTACTTTTTATTTTGGAATAGCTTCAACTCAACAATATCGGAGTAGATAAAATTTTCTGACAACGCAGTTCTCATTTGAGTGTTTTCACATCTATTCAGAAAACACGAAAACCAGCTACTTTTACTAATAAAAGTGCGTAAAGAAGATTAAAAAAGGCAACTTTTGTATCTGGAAAATGTGCACAATATGTTGATCATTTTTCCAGACGAATAAAAAACCGACTTTTTTATACGTGGTATATGTTTAAAATATTGAGAGAAAAACTTTTTCAGATGAAAAAAACTGCTTGTTTTTAAATCGTCTTCACAGATGATAAAAGTAGTTAGCTTTGGTGTTTTCGTATTAGATATGAAAATGTTCGAATGTGAGCTCTGTTTTCAGAAATTCTTGTCTACTTGGGTAGGAAACACCTTTTTCAGTCATATTTCCAATTAAATTACTAAAAAAACCAGCAGAGATTTGATAAGTAAATATTTTGTTATTTAGATCAAAAATTGAAAATGAAAAAGGTATTGATATTGGATATTGGGAATCATTATTATCACAATTACAAGCACATATGGCTCGAGGACGTCTTCGTGATCGACATCAATTAACATTAAAACGAAAATTACAAAAAATAAAACAAGAACAAGGTATATTTCATGCACCTTTACCAATATCAACGAAAAGTTCAACAATATCAAAAAAGAAAGATAATGAAGATAATAATAATCAATTAAATACATTTAATGATAATGATTTTGAATCAAATGAAGATTTAGAAAATAAATGTTTACGTGAATATGAACGAGGTCGTTATTCACCTATATTAGTTAATATAAATGATCTTGATTTGGAAATTCAAAAACGTTGTACTGATGAAACAGATGATTGGGAAAAATTAAAACAACAACGTGAATCTGTTATTAAATCTGGTTCTGTTAAACCTGATGTTGAAGATGCTTTTGAAGCATTTGCTCGAAGTATGGGTAGTTTAACAGATGATGATTCAATTATTAATACTGTTGTACCTATGGATGTTCAATATTTATGGTCAGATAAATATCGACCACGTAAACCTCGTGTTTTTAATAAAGTTCATACCGTATGTTAACAAATTTTCTTTTTTTTTTTTTTATCTATTATTAAAAATGAAATAATTTTCATTTTTCTAGGGTTATGATTGGAATCAATATAATAAAAAACATTATGATACAGATAATCCACCACCAAAAACTGTTCAAGGATATAAATTCAATGTAAGATTTTTTTTCTTATAACCGATCGGCTATTTAAAATTTGAGCGAAATTTTTTGAGTTCATAACACAAATGAATTACAAAATAATTCGAGATTTCTATATGTTACAGAAAGAACTTACTTAAAGAATCTATATACTGTTGACGACCGTGCGAGTATATCTACATGCATACCGTTGTTAACAGTGGCGGGTCCCGATGAACCTTGGTAGACTCTATCAAAACTATTGATGGAAATTAATAAACACTAGGCCTCAAAGTCGAACCACATTTTTACGGCCCGGTCCGACGAATACCCTAGACCCACTCGGACTCGTAAAAAACTTCGTTTACAAAGATTCTTTTTCTCAATAGACAGCTATTCCATATTTTTCGGCGTTTATAAAAAGTGATGACTAAGGAGAGCGGTGAGGTCGAGAAACTTCTCCCTCTGGGATAAGTCAAATCTCAGAAAATGTTATGTCAAAAAAGGATAAGATCGTCGAGCCGGGCAGTCCCGTTCGAGGTCTGATAAATACTATATTATTTTATAATTTATTTGCGTCATTCATAGTGACAATAAGATTTTAAAAAAGTCCGATAAGTCTAGACAAATTGAAATACATCAAAAATATCAAGTTTCAGTATTTATCTGAATACTTTTGTTTTTCGATTTGACTTGTCATATAGTTTAGGAAAAAATGATGTATGTCTTTTGAAATATATTGTTTGATTATTGAGAGAAAATCGATTTTTCTTTGATACGATAGGAAAAAGCCGAAGATACGGGTTTGTGTTCTAAGATTTAAATCATCAGAACTTCAGATCCAATTGAAATGAATATCATACTCAAAATCAGTGCAAAAATTTGCATTGAATGGTATACTCAAAATTAAATTTCGATCGTTACGCTCCCTCTCCCCTCCCTCTCACTGTTATTTTCGAATACTCTGACCTGTACTCATCCTAAGGTTGAAATTTGACGAAAATTACATAGTTTTAACTGTTGAATATTCTATTCAATGCAGATTTTGAATGTGATATTCGTTTAATTTGGAACATAAACAATATTTTTCAGAAAGCATCTATAAATTTTTCCTAATTATATGACGAGTAAAATTAAAAGAAATTCGGAAAACCAGAAAATGCCAAAAAAACAAAGATTTTACTCAAATTTCTCATTGTCAGCATCTTACAATTTAATAAACTATTGATTTCTTTTTAGATTTTCTATCCTGATTTAATTGATAAAACAAAAACTCCATCGTATAGTCTTGTAAGTATTACTATATGATTAAATTTGAATTTCTAATAGGAATTTTTTTTTTGATTTTACTTTTATTAAGACTGTTTGTGAAGATAATAGAGATTTCTCAATTCTCAAATTTCATGCTGGACCACCATATGAAGTAAGAAAAAAATAAAATAAACATTCATTTTCTCTAATTTATTCTTTAGGATATTGCTTTTAAGATTGTTAGTAAAGAATGGGATTATTCATATAAACATGGATTTCGATGTCATTTTCAAAACGGAATATTTCAATTATGGTTTCATTTTCGTAAATGGAAATATCGTCGATAAACGTTACCTTTTTTTTTTGTCTTGCCTATTGTTTTCATATGTGAAATATTATCTTGTATGATCGAAAATTTCAATATATAAAATCCTGATGAAAATTATAAGATCACCATTATCTACTAATCTTTTCATTTCTATTTTTATTTCTAATATGAAATACTTTCTTTCTAGATTAATTGCATCATATCAATTCAGATATGTTCTTTCAAAACATAATTAGAAAAACTTATTCATTTATATGTTTATCAGAACAAAAATCATCGAACTATTGTTTAATGTTTGTTTTTCGAATATTTCGCTGCAAGATATAATATACTGTTTAATAGAATATGGCATAGAATTGACTAAATTCTGACAAATTATGAATGTTATACTACCTCAATTATCCTCAATCAAGTGTAACATATTGAAGTTTTCCATAATTTTTTTATCAATATAATTCGATAAATTTTCAATGAAGATTAAAATCATGAGATAAAACTGATCATTTTAATACATTTATATTATTAATACTGAATTATTTGAAAAACTTTATCGATCTGTGAAGTATAAGCAGTATCCTGCATAAGTGTCTATTCTTCTTTTGATGAAATCAATGTAGGTAAAACTTCTTTAATTGTCTTAATATATGTCAACTGATGAACATGATCTGAATATATTACTAATGAACCATGAGCATCTTCTGGCATGTCGACCTCACATGTTAACACTTCGTTCAATAACTTGCACGAAAACTCAACGGTTCACTACTTTCAGTTTTTGAACATCAAATAAATTTTTCATTTCTTTTACCAATATTGATGTTCTTGTACAAAACGAAATCGTTCTTTTTATTGTATAGTTTCATGAAATAACATTTGTGTTGCTGTGACTCAATTGTTTACCATTTAACAGTATTAGTTGAGATGACAGTCTCTAGTTAGATATTCTTCGATCTGTTTTATATAAACGTAATCATTTTCGATCATCAGTTGGTATTTATGTTGTTTTTTTTGCGTTGCTGATTGATAAAAAAAAAGAATGAAACAATTTCTAGTCATCTTAAACTTTTAATCAACGAAATCTCGATGATTTTTCTTAACAGATATTTGTTCTGATAACTATGTAAAATAATGAAATTTTCTCATCGAGTGATATTTGACTCTATGTAATTAACAAATATCAGAAAAAAAATATTGAATGAAAATATTAATTGAAATGATTCTATCATTTTAGTCGAAATTCTACATTTCAGATACAAAAAAAAAAAACAAAGGAAGAAAATGGTCTGCGTACCGTGTATTTTCATTGGTTTAGCTATTGTTATTTGGTTTAAATATCTTGAACCTTATGTAAAACCAATATATGAACGACTTTGTCAATATTTTCCATCATTAAGAATAGTTGGTGATCAAATTGGAGTTTGGGCTGGAAAAATTGAAAAATTTGGAGAAAAAATTGGTATTCGTATGCCTGAATCATGTCCAATGCCAAAGAAAAATAAAAATGCTTCAAAAGTAATGAAATAAAAAAATATCATTTTTAAGATTAAAACAAAAATAAATATTTCAATTTTTAGTGTCCAGTTGATGATAGTAATAAATTATATCCTGATTTGAAATCAACAATGACTGATGATATGGATATTCATCATCGACCAGTACCATCAGCTCCTTCACCGCCTGATTATGAATAAAAGATCATCATCGAACAAATACATAAAACTTAATATTATTTTTGTCAACTTTTTTGTTTTCTTTTTTCTAGCAATCAACCCAAATGTGTCTGTCATCAATGTTAAGTCGAGTCTTTAATCGTGCATTCTAATAAACATTGTCTTATCAAGATTTTATAAGTAAACTTTAATAAGTTTACAAATTTTAATTGAAAAAGAAATTTTCAGATTTCAGTTTCAATATTTTATAAACTCGAAAAACTAATTCATCTCTGTATATACCATAGAAAAATTTATTAAATTTATGTAGAAAACATAAAATATCTCGTATTCATTCAAATAAAACTAAATTATGAATATCATAATAGACTAACACATTTGCGGCGATGTGACCCATCGATAGATCACACTATACTGTAGAGTAGATACCCCAGTGGATCGATGCAATTATCAGTTTTTTTAACCATAACTTTTTCGTATATAACCTTTTACGGTTCAATACAGCACGTAAACAAACCGTATTTTCTCATAATATTAGGTATAGTAATGCGATGCCGTATTTTAGCGTTAGATATTACGGCAGAATACATTCTGTTTATGTATTGTAAATTAACTGTAAACGGTCGAGTGCAAACCGTATCATTCAACATGGATAATCAGATATATAAATACCAAAAGCTCTTAGCAAGTTTATTCGCCTATCCAGTTCTATGAAGCAATCTGAGTTGATTAATTTAGTAAAAAAAGAATTTAATTAAACAAAAAAATGACGGTGTTTAGGTTAAAATAGACCCATTACCGTCTCCAGCATTGGGTGAGAATACAAAAACATTACAAAAAACACAAAGATACTGAAAGTGCATTATTTGACGAATGTTCTATTGATCGCTACTGAAAGTTGGACTAAGTTATTTATCAGGATATCACCCTCCGATACCAGTCTAAATGATAGCCATCATTCTCACAAAGTTCAAATTCCAATAGATGACTAACAATCATTATTAGCTGCTCAATTAATTCATTAATTTAATTTTGTTCTTTGTACACTAGTCTTCTGCATAAGCTTTAACATGTTTCGTAACGTCTTGAGGCATAAACAATTTGCTACAACTAGGACATTGATATTTACCAGCAGTGTTCTTCTTTAATACTTCTGTTACTTTTTTCTGTACTATTCCATGAGCTGTTGCTAAATTTCTTTTTTTTCGTTCAGTTGCTCGTTGTTTATACTCGAAAATAATATCTTTTATATTTGGGTGAATAGATCTCGTCTGAGTGTTCCGGTTAATTACATCACGCCATTGATTTCTATCGAGACTTTGTCTTCTCCAATTAGTAACATTCAGAGTTTGTATATCATTTTGAATTTTATCTTCCCATCTTTTTCTTATGCCGATGTTTCGAGGTCTTTTCTCTTCAGGAAAATATGAAAGTGTAATCTTTCTCATCACTGATGGCTCACCATTACCGTTCATCATCCTATCTGCATGTCTGAACTACATCAATCAATTTCTGCATAAAATATTCTCAATTGATGGTCGACCCGTGATTTCTAATACTTTTTCATTTGACATTCTATCACCTAGATTTATACCGATAATTGTACGTAGACATTTCATATAAAATGTAGAAATTCTACGTTCATGTTGATCGGTAATTCACCACGTTTCACTTCTATAAAGTAACACTGGAAGAACACATGTACGAAAAACTCGTAGTCTTGTTTAGATTGAGACGGTTTTTCGGCCCCACATCACATATCTTAATATATTAAATGCAATGACACCTTTGGTTAATCTTATGTTAATTTCTCTATCTGGCTTCTGATTTCTAATAATGTTGCAACCTAAATACGTAAAAGACTCAACAGTTTCTATCTTTTGGTTACGAATTGTAATGTCAATCTCAGGAAAGATCACTTCGTTCTGTTTTAAAATCTTTCAATTTTGATCTTCCTCAAACTGTTGTAAAGTCATAATACATGTTTTTTTAACACTCATTGTCAATCCAAATTCTTGAGTCACCTTTTCAAATGTTCGAATATATGTTGCTAGATGATCAGATGTTGTTTCACGCATAGCTGCAAGATCATCAGCATAAAGTAGTGTCAAGATGTTAAAATTTTCGTAGTTTTCCGTTTGGCATGAAAAAAATCATTACTACCATAAGAAAATTTGACTTCACCAATACCAGCCTCTTCTGTAACTTTTCTGATAATAAAATCAAATAAAATGTTAAACAGAATTGGTGATGGTATACCATCTTGTTGAACTCCAGTTTCAATTAAGAAACTATCCGGTAATTCACCTTCAATTCTCATTTTTGCCTTTGAGTTCTTATAGAGCATTTTCAATAGATTATCAAGTTTCTCTGGTATGGCATACTTGCGACAGACTCTCCACAGAAGATCACGATTGACCGAGTCATAGGCCTTTGTAATATCAATGAAACACACGAATAATGATTTGTTGAATTCCCTACGTCTCTCCATTGTGATTTTCAATATGTGTATTTGGTCGACGGTTGATCTCTGTGTTCGAAAACCAGATTGTGCTTCTAAGAGTTGATAATCGATCATATTTTGAGTACGGTTCAATATAATACGAGAAAATATTTTACTTGTTACATTCAACAGTGAAATTCCTCTATAATTGTCACACACTTGTTTTTCTCCTTTCTTGTATAATCAAATAAGAATAGCTAAGCTCCAACCTTGCACCATCAGTTCACTCTTTCATATATCAACAAATATTTCATAGAGTCAGCGAATAACTGGTTCTCCTGCAATCTTCAGAAGGTCAGCTGTTACTTCATCATTTCCTGGTGCTTTTCTTGATTTCATTTGAGATAATGCTCTTCTTATTTTCTTCTATTGATGGTTCAGCATTCTGTCTCGTTTCTTCTGCTTTAGATAATGTATCAATTTGAATTTCATCAATAAGTTGTTGATAGACTGTTGATGGAACATCAAGTAGTTCATCAAAATATTCACGCCATCGTTATAGTCGATCTGATGAGTTCAAAAGTAGTTTGCCGTTCTTATCTTGAATTGGCATGTTTTCAACTCTTTTATTTCCACCGCGTAAACGTCTTATGATAGAGAAAGTAGCTGCTGGATCATTCAGTTTAATAGAGTTCTCTATTTCTTCGCAAATTTCATCCCATTATTCAATTTGACGTGCATCGATTTTCTTCTTAGCTAATTTTCTAAGACGTCAGTACTTATTTCTGGTTTCTGTTTCTAAATTGGTGCCACGGTGATTCTGTCAATTTAGGAAAGCTAATGATTTCTGATCTACGATTTTTAATATTTTGTCCGTGAGTCATTCTTTTCTTTTTCGATTAGTATTCTTGTCTAATTTAAAATGTTTTTCTGCATTTACTTTCAGATGTTCCACGAATAATGAATATTTCTCATCACTACTAAGTGTATCATCAGATGCATCAGATATAGTTCCATGGAGATCACATTAAAACGATTCTAATGCTTTATCATGTTTAAATTTAATAACGTCATATTTAACTCTCTTCTGTTTCATTAGTTTCTTTCGACTTTTCAAATGTAATTTGATTTTAACACCCATTAAATGACGATCAGATCCTATGGCTCCAGTTGCATTTCTAAGCGTTCCTACGTCTTCAATACTCTATCTAAATTATTTGTTAGCTAGTGTATAGTCGAGTATGTGCCAAATCTTTGTTCCAGGATACATCCAGGAAGTCTGATGTATGAACTTATGCTTGAGAAACGTGTTCGAAACAATAAAATCGTTAATCGCTCAGTGATCAATTAACCTTGTTCTATTCTGATTCTTCTTATCAACCATAAACGGTCCAATGTAATTACATAAATTTTGATGTTGTTATTTTTCTCCTATTATTGCATTGAAATCTTCCATAAAAATTAACACATCTTCAGTAGAAATTTTATTTACGGTATCTTGTAAATCTGCATAGAATTTATCACTTTCATCAGCCATCTGTGTATTTGTTGGATACACCGGTGAGTAAACAGCGATAACAATTATATTAATTTGAGAAAATTTAAGTTTAATCTTCAAAATTCTTTCAGAAATTGCCTTCCACTCTGATCCAGAGTCCTTTCAAACCTTTGTGGCTGTCTGAGCAAGATAAATTGCCACTCCATATGCGTTTCTGGTCTTGTTATCAGATGATAAACCGGAGTAAATTATTGTATGATCATTAATTAATTTAGCACCAGAATCATATATACATGTTGCACTCAAAGCAGCTATTTGTATACAAAATTTTTTCAATTGTTTAACACATGACCAAACATTCCACTCGCCAAATAGCACGTGAAAATGTGCATTGGCACATTTGTTTTTCTTCTTTTCGTTAGGAGAGATAGTTTAGTGTCCAAACCGAGAGAATGTTAACTTCAAGATTAGATGGTTGGTTACCGACAGCCCAGGATCACCTTCTCACTGTTTTCAAAACAGCGAGCTCCTGTGTGAATTCGAAAATTCACCCGGCAGGCGAGTATGCCAATCAATGTCTCATCTGTTCATCATTACTCTCATTTCTATTGGTTCTGACATCATGTTTAATCGATGTAGGTGAATCAGTTGTAGCTGATAATTTTTCTTGTGCTCTTTTTTCGAGTTCTCGTTTAAGCAGTTCACGTTGAGTTAGAATTGGTAAACCTGGATTGAGACTTAATGCGTATGGTAAAGACGGTTTCGGTATATCGCCAAAGTCAATTATAGTTTTGATAAACATAGTATCATTAACAACATATGGATTGTTATCTTGTTGGATTATTGTCAGAGGCACAAATTTAGGTATACCAGAAGCAATGTTCATATCTGAATGAGGCCTTTGAAAACTATTTGATTTTACATCAGGCCGAAATGAATCAAAAATATGTCGTTGTTGCGATGTTTGATCCAGAAGAATGAATATTACTTTGAAACTGAACGGAAAATGAAGGATAGCATCATACTCTCCACGCATGAGTACAAAGAAAAGAGACATATGAGTACGCCTACCGTTGCCATTACCAGCTAAGTAGAGACGAAGTCGCATTTTATAACCGCTTGGCGATGAATAGAATATTGGAGAGTAAATAGATGTCTGTCGTTCACACTGAGCATCATCTAAAAAATTCAAAAACAAAAAATTGACAATTAATAATAAAAAATTCGATGCTATATTTCATTTAAATTTGTTTCTGATACAAAAGATGTCATATTAGCATTATTTTTAGCCTCTTCGAGATGGAAAGCACATATATGTACTTCAGTTCTAATTCAACTAATGCCGAATTTTTTAAAAAGTACTAACGACGATTTTTTGAATAACTTTTCAACAGTGCAACCTATAGAGGTCAAGTTTTCACCGTTAGAAAGAGCAAGGTGGCGAACGTCGATCTGTATAAAATTCATAGGGTTTACAGACTTTTTCTATAGTTGTTTGCAGTCTGATCTGTTATTTGTTGCCTATTTTCATGAGTTTTCAGGACAAATTAACATCAAATCAGACGAAAATGTAGCCAAATTGTCTGGTATTTGTACTAAAATTTTCAAATTTTTGCGTTTTATTCTTGAGCTTTTTCCTTATGCTTTGATATTAAAATATGAAACTTTTAGCACAAATACCAGACGATTTGGGCTAAATTTTCGTCTGATTTGATATTGATTTGTCCTGAAAACTCATGAAAATAGACAACAAATAACACATCAGACTTCAAACAACTATAGAAAAAGTCTGTAAACCCAATGGATTTTATACAGATCGACGTTCCCCACCTTGCTCTTTCTAACGGTGAAAATCTCACCTCTATAGGTTGAACTGTTGAAAAGTTATTCAAAAAATCGTCGTTAGTACTTTTTAAAAAATCCGGTATTAGTTGAATTTAAAATTTATTTTGAAGTCAACTAATTGATTTTAAAATATTTTAAAGTCAACTAGTCGCTTTTAAAAGGGGATCAAATTTTAAAATCAACTCTGATATATACATATATCTTTTGTTTTCTTTCTCTCTTCTTTCCATTCCCTCACTTGGATATTTCTCTTCTCTTGATGTTGTTCAGGTATATTTCCTTCTTCGCTATGTTTTCTTTCTAGGATTTTTGGTTTTTCCCTAGCTCATTCATATATATAATTACCATTTCTCCAGTAAAGTAGTAATTCAGTATTGATGTGTTAGATAAATCATGCGTTAACAAAAAACAATATGAATTCATTTATATACACAAATACGCATTTTTTCAATTTTACAAAATAAAATATAAAAACAAAAGGAGGCAGACTATCTAAAGCAAGAAAAGCTTTATTCATACAATAATATACTGTTTTTTTCATTTTTTTGTTTTTTTTAAATTGTAAATAACTTTTTTATTTCTCTAATTCATATAAAATAATGTAGTTTTTCTATGTTTTATTGCTAAAATGTGAAATTACTACTGCTAATTAATGAATTAATTATTGTACATTTAATAATATAAAATTACTCAAATAAAGCTTTTTTTATTGCTCAAAAATTATTGCTAAATCGTATTTTAATTATTGCCCATTCCAGTATTTCTATTACTCAAATAAATACTAGCCTATATATGTGTATATTGTCTCATAGTTTAAAAAATTTATATTTCTTCTCACAGTAAACTCGTTCTCAATGGATTAAAAGAATGCTAATGGTTTAGGTATTAGTATTAAAACGGGCCTTAATGCTCTGGTATTATTTACATTGGAATTAATTAATGTCAAGCTATCACTATTAAATTAGCATTATTTTTATTTCTAATATGTATGTTTTCTGCGACTATACCTATTAGAGCTCATCTTCGAAAGTCTTCAATAAGAAAACAAATGCTCTTTGACCAAAAATGTCATTCCCAAAAATAGAACAAAATGATTTGCTCTTAGGGACTTCTGAGCTTAGAATGCTTGAGATCTAATCGTCGGTAATCTATATATTAGAATTAAAAATAATGCTAATTTAATGGTAACAACTTTGGAATCAATTAATTCTAATACAACACCACTATCTGAATTTAATCTTTTGTTTTGTCAAGTGAGAATTGATTTGAAAAAACTTCTGTTTAACATACCTATTTTTTGTTGAAGATTCGTAATTTTCCATAGAAGTGTACCATCAATGGAAATATTCTTTTGATCATCAAGCTGTTGCTTACAGGAATTGAGACTTTCTTCAAGTATTTGTTGATTGGTTCTATGAGCATTTATCGATGAATGAGTTGCTTCAATAGCGATTTTCAATTTTGATGCGTCTTCGGACACGGATTGTAGTGAATGTTGATACTGAAATGACTCCGAAGTGAGACGTTGAGTATCATCATTTATCACATTAAGACCACCAATTAGAATATCCATTGTTTCAAATAATTGTTGAAGACTAACATGAGAAGTCTCATCAACTCCTCCATAAGTAGTTATTGTTGTATGACAAGACATCGTTGACTCATCCTCTTTATCATTTATTGGATGTTGAATATTCTGGGTAAGAAATCGAAGTAAAACATTTTGATGTTGTTGACTCAGAAAATGGTCTCGTATGTTCATACGAAGAAACTAAAAAATAGGATTTTTCATGAGCAATAAAGTTAAAATAAGAGCTTCTTAAATACCTGTTCATTACAGCCATATGGTTTGAGGATACAATTGAGAGTGACTTTCTCACAAATAGATACGTGTTGAGTAAGA